TTTTTTAGTTGCTGCAGCAACTGCTGGCATCAGTATCCAATTGGGGGAAAATAAGTGGCGATGCGAATGCGATAATCAGGCACTCATCGAATATGTCGCACAAGCGCAAGAGACGAACAGTGAATTGACGAAATGTTCGTCGCCAAATGAATTGGCTGGAAAACCAATTCTTCATTTACAACTGGATTGTAATGGTAAGAACATAGCAATAGAATTAAATGTTTATGTATAAATAAATTGGAAATTTTCAGCAACGACTATTACAACAACAACGGTGTCTTCAACAAAAGATGCTACAACAAGAGTGTCTTCAACAAAAGATGATACAACAACAGTGTCTTCAACAAAAGATGCTACAGCAACATCACCTACCACGACAACCTCGCACAATTCAACAGAAACGACGGATACAACCATTCCGGAGAAAACAACTAAAACCACTCTTCCCACAACAGGTAATACAATCGTCAAAAATTTCATTGAAAATGCAACTCATTCCTTGGGAAAGATTTCAATATTTTTTCCTGTATAAACTGTATATTTCCTAAATATGCGTACCCTAACCGCACATGAAGTTCTCCTTCTTCTAGTTTGACGCTTTAACCCTTTTTCTTCTGTGCCAACTGACGCTAATTGGGAATGTCAAGTGAAGACAAGTTCTTCTCCACGTAGTCTTTTCGTTGCTAAGCGGCCTTCATGGCCCCATACGCACATGTAATATGGTGACAGGTAGCAAGATCAACGGAAATAAGGTCAATTGACACTATTCCGCATACTTGTGCGAAATAAAGCCAATTTATATTATTACCTTTTCAAAAGCGTAATAAAATCCATTGACATTATTGCTCTTTCAAACATTAAATTTGCATCTCGTCTCCTCGGAGAATACCATTTTGTGCAGATGGTACCTCAGCCTGCAGTGTCCTGTCAGGTATCCGGTGAGAGTTCGTAAACCTCTCTGCTAAGGTTTAGCAGCCGCTGAAAGATTCCGCGAGACGGAAGACGCCTTTTGCCCTTTGTCGCGCGATTGGTTTGTAACTTGAAAGTCCTCCCATCTTCTTAGGAGCTCTGATATGTATCCTCGTATGGACCAAAGGAGGGCTGATGGTCGATCAAACTTCGTTGGCCACCGCATTTCGCTAGAGTGTCAACTCTTTCGTTGCCATCGAAACCCTCATGAGCCGGAGCCCACCACCACAGTGTTACTCTAATACTGGCTCCTGATTTTAACACTACTTCTTTGCAACTGTCTACAGCCTTTGACACCGTTTTCCAGGAGTCAAGTGCTCTTAACGCTGCCCGGCTATCCGACGTGATGTTTATTGTTGCCACATTTGTCCTTCTTCGAGGAAATTCGTGGACACAGACTGCGATTGTGAAAATTTCCACCTGGAATATGGTTGGGTTGGGTATATGCCCATCGGTAGGCTTTTTAGAAATCTAGGTCCATATACGCCGGCCCCAGCGTTCCCATCATCAAGGTTCCAACCATCAGTTTACCAAAATGAGTTCCCTCGCTTAACATGGTGATTGTCGGTTTACGGGTATTCCTTTCAGGTATTATTACCTTATAGGGCTTTGCAAAGGTCAGCTTCGGCAGCATTGAGTCTAACCACCTACTTTAAGTAAAAAAAACCCAGCTTGCCATTCGAACCGAACGATATGAAGTCCATGGCATAGTGGTTCTCGAATTTCTTCCCTCCCCTGTCAGCACATACTACGCACATTATACATATATACCGTCGTTTAAAGTACAAAACCGCGTATCAAGGAAATGCTAAACCAAAGTATGTGAGATTGCCACGATGGGTGAGAGTAAAGCTAGTCCTATTTCAAAATGGTTCTCCCTTTTATCCCTAATTACATCTTCTTCTTATGTCTATCAATCGATATTTTAGTATAGTTATACTATAAAATATCCATTTATAAATGGATAAGGGTTTGACTTATAAGTAAATTGATCCTAACATATCACTACTATTACTGTTACTTATTTTCTCACCTGACTGCCTTATCCCAAAATAAACAGCCACCTACACAACCACCCGGAAGCAGTCGGACACGGATGCAACAACCACACGATTACAAACTACTACAATTGGATTTCAGGTGTGCCCCAGCAGTGCTCTTCCAAAGTTCATATATTGTGAAACTGAAGGACTCGTTGTTCTCTGTGACTACGATGCCTATTTTGATGTGGAAGCGATCTCCTCAACCAGTGTACAACTACAATTTGACGTTGAAGCTTATGGTTTGCGAGTTATATATTTTCAAGCAATGATGTATAACGATACGTATTCTGTTCTCATCGAAACCAATAACTCTCTGGTTATTAACTACCTAACATCAAATGAAATGTATGTCTTTTGTATAATGAAAACTTCTAGTTTGACGACCTCGCCATTTAATTGCGCTTCTGTGTACTTACCGTTAGTGAAAGCTGTGCCTTGGCTTATGCATGAGGATAAAGCGCTTTTCTATACACTTTCAACAATTATAACTATTATCTGTTGCCTTTTGGGCATAGCTGTATGCTATTGGATACTTCGTTGCCGTCCAACATTAATATGTGGCAACAAACGTATACGGCGAGTTGCATCCACATCGTACAAAGTAATGCTTTTTGCCAAACCATTCGATCGTTTGTCATTTGATTCGACACAGTTGGCGCTGCATGAACTCTCTAAAATTCGCTCATCCATTAGTGATACACTCACCGCAGAGAACTATTTGAGTGTCGACTCCCGTGATTATATGCAATATATAAAAGGCTTAGAACTGAATCGAGAAGCAAAAGTGATATATATATCGGATAATCGGCCGCCATTTAATCGGGCGCCTACATTGCCACCACCACAAGCCGATAGGAAGTTTTGTAATGATCGTAGGCTCGATTGTAACAGTGAAGCGTTAAGGCACCAGAGTTCAAAATGTTCCACAGTGCTAATGAAAGGTGACCCGCAGCCAAGTGCACGTTTTCTAGTTTGGCAACCAAACGCTACTTTAGGTTCTTCTGAGAACGTATACGAAAGCTTGGATTACTATCAGGAGCTGCACTAGGTTTATTGGTAATAATTTGATGCAAAAATCTGTTTGATTGAATGGAAAATATTGTAAATGCATAAATTACTTAAATAAAACTATAATTAAAAAAGTACTAGCAGATGAAAGACGTTGGCGTTTGTACGAAAACTAGAGGTAAGTAAAATTAATAACAATACATGTTCGATCACGACTTTGACAAATGTAAAGTCTTGCCACGCGAATCTTGGCAAAACACCTGACCGTCCCAACAAAAGAAGCGATTTTTACAGCCTGCCTAACCCTAACTCACAAACGCGAAGATGGTGTTTTTATCATGTGAAATTGAAGTGCTTCAGGCCTCACTGTATTCTTTTCTTAAAACTCTAGAGAGGCGCATTGACGAATATATTTGACGGAATATAAAAAAAAAATACAATCTCTC